AACGATACTGAGTAGTAGCAAAAAGGAAAGTTAGTTTAATCGTCAAACAAGTTTAAAATATATCTAAATATGTATAGCATATTATAAAATAAATTTCAGAGAGTTGCAATGGCGTAGATCAAATAAATATTTGTAATCAAAATGCATTATATATATAAATATTTACACATTTTAGAATATTAAAACCACCTATCCTTTGGTTTAGACGAATTAAATATTTTCACAATACATTGTGTACCCTTGACGAGGTTAATTTTGATCTACAATATTCTATATAGCCATTGTAATTGAAAATCCTGGATATAAAGTAATGACCCACGTCTGATGAGCATTCTAGCCACTATTTCAAAAGCTGGAAAGGAAAACGATCTGAGATTGTTATTGTGGGCAATGCTGAGTTAGAAGATCACCTATTGGCAATAAAAAGGGCAGAGTAAATCGAGTTTTTCGGCGGGAACGCAAATAAGGTTACTTTATTCTGCTAGGGCGGTGGTGTATCTGTCAGAGCACATATAGTGAGCAAAAAATCATCTCGGTTATATAGAACCATTTTTTGAAACAGCGGTTGCTCGTTGATGGAGTTAATTATAACATCTCTAAGGAATTACAAGTTACGACCTTGTAAGACGTGGATGAATATCGGATTTCCACTGATGATAACGGCAAAAGCTAATGCATCAGTTACAGTTTTGCAAAATAAGTAATGAAAATGAAGATTGGCAAAAAGTGATTCCTTGAGTTCTTGACCTTTTCGCTCTCAGTTCTGATCTGAATCCAAGAACTTAATGCATAAATCTATTTTTACAATTAAAATCAAGACTTAACTATGCACTGAGCTTTAAAGCGTAAACGTATTCGTTTCATATGCTGGTATGATTTGCTAGAATAAAGAAAATTTTAAGAACACCCTACCAAAATTTTACAAAAACTCAACACTTAATAAATAGAAATAGTAACGTTCAATTTATTAATCTTTTCTAGCTGACCTTTTAAAATACCCACTCCGTGGTTGACCGGTTCAGTGCGATTGTAAATGTCTGACGAAACCAATTTCGAGCAGCAAATAAATTTGGAAAATTTGCGATTAGAAGAAAAAACTGATTATATTTTAAAAATAAACCTTCATAATAAAAATACGACCTCAAATATAAAATCCACCTATTCTGTGGGTTAGATGAATTTAATATTTGAAGAATCAATTTGTGATTGTAATTGTTGAACCAGGAGATGCTCCTTTTAAGGGGCCTCTTTTCAGGCGATATTTATCTTCAATGATCGTGGCGTGCCCAAAGTATTTAAGTTTAGGTTTTTTAACTGTGAGTACTTTGTCTTTTTGGCATTAAGTTCTAAATCCTACTCGTTGCCGGCAATATTGAGAGACCTCACTAGTTTTTCTAGATTCTCCAGACTGTTAGGTATCAAAACAGCGTCGTCGGCGTAAAGGATGTTGTTTATATTTTGTCAATCGATCTTTATTCCACTCCGAATTCCACCCAACGCTCTCCTAAAGTTGTCCCCAGAGTAGAAGTTGATTTGCTGAGGCAATAGTAAACATTCATGTCTTACTCCCCCATGAATTTCTACAGGTTCGGAGTATTTTTCCGCTGTACTGCCCGCAGTATAGGTTTCGCTCCAGAGATTCCATCATTTTACCGTATTGACACCTATAGAACACCTCAGTGTAGTCCACAAAACATGCGTATTCGTCGCAGTCAACATCTTTGCTCGCTGAAGGAGGACTTGTACTGCAAAAAGTGCCTCACGTGTTTTGATGCCGTTGTGAAACCCAAATTGTAGATTTGTAGATTCGGTTGGGAATTATTTTGAGGAACACCTTCAACAGATGGCTCATTCGACTAATTGTTCTAAAGTCTTCACAGGATTGTGCATTGGACTTTTTTGGTAGCGTAACAAAAGTGGACATTAACATCTCAAATAATTCCAATATTGTAAATTTTATTCAAGGATTTCGTGAGTGTTCTGAGACAATTTTCTTGCATGACTTTTAGTAATTCCACGGGGAAGTCGTCTGGGCCCAATTCGTTTCCACTTTTTTCCGTCCTGATAGCGTATTGCACTTCAGAAATGGTTATTGAACCTTCTTCATTTATGGATAATGTTTATTCGGATCGTGTGTTATCACTGAATAGATTCATAATGTTGTTCTGTCACACTTTTAATGTTTCTTCTACTTCATAAACTAAGTTTCCACTTTGATCTTTTATGTTTCCCTGCCTTCTTTTCCTGTGTCTACCAGCCCCTTCTATTATCTTTTTGTAAGTATTAGCATTAGCATCATGTCGTTTACTTCTATTTCTTTTCATCTATCGCTCATCCATTCCTCTTTAGCATGCCTAACTTGTTTTCTGATGTTTCTGTGAAGTCTCTTGTATAAGTCAGAGTTTTGTGTTTTAGCCAATCTCTTTTGTTCCATTTTGTTCAGGATATGTTGTGTTATCCTAGGGTTTTTGGCTTGATATTAAGTGTTCATTAGGGCTCTTTCGTCTTAAGGAGTGTATTTTTTAGAGCACACCAAATATCTTCCACTTCCGCTTCTTCTGTAATCTCGATGCTATTTATTTCTGTGCTAAGAACGTCCTGAACATGTCTGTCTGAAGGTGCGTTAAGTTTTTTAAAGTAATATCTCATAATCGTTTTTTTGTAGTAGCTTCGTTAATTACAATGCCTACCCCGTTCCTATGATGTCAGTCGACGTTGCCGCTGTAGTACACTGTGTGGTCGCTAAAGTGGCTTTCTCCTGATCGTGTCCATCGCATTTCATTAATTCACATTATTTCAACATTTGACCGCATCATTCTTGTATAACCTTGTGAATTTTACCTCCTTCATACACACTTGTGGCATTACACGTGCCTATCTTTAAGGTTGAGCGGGAGATTCTTCCCACCTTTTGACCATAGCCCTTGACTAAGGGCCGCTCATTTTTGTTTTCCAAAAATAATACAGCGGTTTTCCGTTGCCTTCTGTATGGCAGTTTTGTGACCTTTTTGTTGCTCCAACTCCGCCCAAATATGTCTGTCGATGAGCCTTCCCAGCATCATTCACTTTCAGCCTTCATAACAGTATTGACTTCGCTACTTACTCACTATTCACTACTCACTCACATTTCGTTTTTGGTGTTGTGGGAAATTTAACGGTCAAACCTACACAATTACAATTCTGCCACTCGTAATATTGTGAAATAACAGATTTTTCCGGCAGTTATGAGATATCACTTTAAAAAACTTAACGCACCTTCAGACAGATCACATGTTCAGGACGTTCCATGGGTTCGATCAGATTTTGCTATATTTTATTTTTGATTATTGATTTTTTGTTTCCATTTATCAATCAGTTCGTTAATTTATTTATTTTAAATAAGTGTGGTGCACTCTTTTAACTCTTCCGTGAAATCTAAAAGCGCCTTTCTCGCCATCAGCCCCGCCCACCAGTTTCTACTTTTTTTGATCTCTTCCATATAGTTTTCTCATTTTCGATGTGTTTTCTTGTCAATCAAAACTGGCGAAAGAGTTCAAACTATTGCTGCACTTAATTACCACTCCATATCATATATATCAGATGTGATGGTGTTTGGCAGGTATATTTTGATGCACAGCAAACCGAACTGTTCCTCGAGTCGTATTCGTGGGATAATAAAACCTCTAGGAAACGCTTTAGTTACATCTTAAAACTTAATGGTTGTATACTGGACAATCTGCGTACAACATGACAGATGGAAGGACCTCTGAAGTTGAATTCTGATTCAACAGATCGTTGTGCTGAACATTTATCTAACTCAGAAAGAACAATTTTAAAGGACATTAAATTAATGGGACCGAACTTTTTTTTATCTATTTTTATAAAGATTTTTAATGAGCTTCTAAAAGAAGCTTCCATTCGACGTCCGATTCAAACCGAACACATACAAATTTCAAGAGTGGATAACTCAATGATTGATTGTGTCTCTTTAGCGCAGAGAAAACTTTAAAGCTCGGTTAAATAGAAATTACAGAGTAGAACTTAACCGGGAATGTATATGTATAACCATAGAAAGAATACTATTTCTAAAAGAAAACAAAATTGAAAAAAAAAACGGAATCTTTTTAGCAATTTGTGTAGTGTAAAGGTAAAATCCAAATACATATATTAAATTGGAATTGCAAAATACGTAAAGAAAAATATTAAAATTCTAAAACGTAATTTACCTATCATGTGTTTGAGTATTAATTTGCAAGTTTTAAGTATGTCAAGGATAATACGTGGTTTGTTAGACTTATTTTTTTAATTTTAAAAAATTGATAAAGCTGTTTTGTTGTTGTAAATTTGTAGATAATAATTAGCAATAGTCATGTTTTCTCGATAAAAGCATACGCTTTCTTATAAATGCGATAATCAACAGCTTGATCGGTCTCGCTAGATGTCGCTAAAAGGGAAACATGTATAGTTCAAAACGAAAAAATACGTAATACAAAATTTCTCTAACTTACCAGGTATACTAAACAAAACTTGGAATAACACATAATTACCAAAACAGTCGACTGAATACCTATTTAATTTTTAAAATCACGGGTGCAAGGATCTATTTTTTAATTCTTATATTAGTCGTTTTTCGTACATAACCAGACAAGCTATATTTGTTTAATTCTCAGTCGTGGAGCATAACCGCAATTTTGAAAGAAATGGAAGGAAAGTCTAAACTTCACATCGTGTATATGGTGATTAGGGACACATGCAGGCTTAAGTCTAGTAACGAGTGAAGACTGAGTGTAGGGAGCACCATTTCTTTCTGTCATACTGGCAGACGCTTCACCTTTTTTTGCGTCTTTTCTGCTTCTTATCGATTCGATCTATTCTACTGTGTTGGTTAGTTCGATTTCGATTTGATTCACCTTCGCATGCCTTCGACAACATTCAAAATGCAAATAAAGTAACCGTTTGCGAAATTGTTTTTTAGCAGACTAAATATTTATCTTTTATCAGTACCTGCAAACCGCATATAAATGTAATGTAAATCGAGGCTTAAAAATTAAAATAAAAAATGCATTGTCTGTTATTACTTGGGATTGGAACCATTTCATTTGCGGTGAGTGGAAATACTTTGTTTGTGATATCGAGAATATATTCAACTGGTATGTTTTTTATAACTTGTGAAAAACTTGTATTGTAAGTATTTCACAAATTGTAGAGAAAACATTTTGTGTTCAGTTCCTGTAGTTTACTCTACGATATAAACTACCGCAGAGTGCTGACGCAGTGTGCTTTTTAGTATGCCGATCTATTGGTCGATCTTCCAGATGGCACGATCCTTGGACGAGAAATTAAATCCGGAGTCTACAGTTACTACGCCTATCGGGGAATTCCATATGCGACCCCTCCGCTAGGGAATTTTAGATTCCAGGTACTCTAGTTCAGTTCTTAATACATATATAACCTTTTTTGAAATCGTCCTAGGCACCGATACCGAATAAGCCATGGGAAGGCACACTGGAAGCTACCGAACACAGAAGTTGCTGTATTGCGATGACCATATTTACCGAATTAACAAAACAAAGCGAAGATTGTTTATTTCTCAATGTTTACACTCCTGCGAGAAAAGTACGTCTATTTTAAACTTGATCTCAGTTTGTGGGTACGTTTGACTGATAACAATTGATCAGATTACAGAGAAATTACCTGTCATGTTCTGGATACACGGGGGAGGATTTAAGGCAGGATGTGGAAATGATGATCTGTATGATCCGTATGCACTGACGAATGAAGACGTTATTGTGATCACGATTAATTATCGTTTAGGAATATTTGGTTTTTTGTCTACCGAGGACAATGTTATTTTGGGCAACGCGGGATTAAAAGATCAGCTATTGGCTATGAAATGGACACAAAAAAATATCGAGTTCTTCGGTGGAGATCCAAAGAAGGTTACCATATTCGGTGAGAGTGCTGGCGGTATGTCTGTTGGGGCACACATAGTGAGCGAGAAATCGTCTGGGTTATATAGAGCCGCTATTTGTCAGAGCGGCTGTTCGTTGACGAAAACGAGTTTCACATCTCAAAGTAATCCCAGAAAAGCAGCTTACGAAATCGCCAGGGCCATAGATCTCATGATTTCCGAACACAACACGACGATAGAAATTCGAGACTTTTTTCTAAATCAGTCAGCTAATGTTCTCACGGAAGCTTTTAATGTAAATTCGGAAGTAAGTGTACCTTCAATCTCATTACCAATCCCCTTTACATGTTTATATATGAGTATGTTCTGGGACTTATAGTTTGTTTATATAGACTTAAAATGTAAATATTATAACAAAATGGCGGAGACGTAATTGTAGAATTTAATCTTACATGCGTGTGAACTATTTCAAATCATTTACACATAATTAAAACTTCGTAATTTAGTCAGGACCGGTAATTGAAGTGGAACATAAAGACGCCTATATGAGTCAACTAAGTTACGACCTCGTGAAACGTGGCAACATCAATCGAGTTCCACTGATTATAGGAACAACATCGGAAGAATCAGTTACAGTTCTGCGAAGTAAGTAAACGAAACAATATTTTGTCAAAAGTCCTCAAAAGTGCCTAGATTTGCCGCTTATTTAATATTGTGAATCACTTTGTAGTGATAAATTCGTTAAGGCTTTCGCGTCCCGTTGATAAGCTATTATCTTGATTCGGGTTTAAAGGTCGTCGTCGGTTGGAATTACTTCCTAACGTTTCGTTAGCACTAGTGGCGAGCTTCTTCAGAGGTCCTTCCATCTCCGATGTTGGACGTAGACTGACGATTTTTCCTGCGCAGATCGTATTTATACCGATTGGTGGTGGGCAGAGCTTCTTCCGCTTCGGTTGGTCTCGGGATATCGATCGGTACTGCTCGGGCGTTTCTAAGGATCGGGTTCCAGATTTGGTTGAGTCTAAAGGTCTCCTCCTTTCTGTTGAAATTGTGTGGGTCTTTTTGTATCTCAATGGCTTCCCTGACTAGTCTGTTGTGATAGCCGTTGACCGATGCTAGCAACTTACAGCTCTCAAAGTGTATCCTGTGTTCCCCGCTGCCCAGTGCGTGTTCAGCTACTGCAGACTTCTCTGTCTGTCCTAGCCTGCAGCTTGCTTTATGCTCCTTAAGTCTCGTTCCCATTGATCTCTTGGTAGTTCCGATGTAGACCTTTCCGCATGAACACGGAATGCGGTAGACTCCTGCAGCTGAAAGTCAGTCCCTCTTGTCCTTCGCTGACCTGATGGTCTGCTGGATCTTCTTTGTAGGCTTAAAGATTGTTTTGATGTCGTGTCTTTTCAATACTCTGCCAATCCTGTCGGTGACACTCGGAATATACTGCAGATATGCGTGGGAGGTGGAGGGTCGTTGTTCGGTATCCCGTGATCTTGATGATCTTGAGTTCATTGATCTCTCGATCTCCCTCTTGCTGTAGTCATTTGCCTCGAACGCAGTTTTCAGGTGTTCAAGTTCCATCTGGAGGTTCTCCGGTTCGCAAATCCTTCGGGCTCCTTCTGTCAGGGTTCTGATAACCCCATACTTTTGACTTGGGTGATGGTTGGATAGAGCATGCAGGTATCTGTCCATATGGGTTGGTTTTCTGTACACTGTGTGGCCCAGCTTGTTACCTCGCTTCCTCACTAGTACGTCCAAGAATTCAAGTTGTTGGTCATTTTCAGTCTCCATAGTATACTGGATGCTGGGATGCTGACTGTTGAGATGCTGCAGAAAGTTGTTGTGCTTGTCCATACCATGTTTCCAAATCACGAAGGTGTCATCCACGTACCGGAACCATGTTGCTGGCTTGTACTCTTAGGTCTCGATCGCTTTTTCCTCAAAGTGTTCCATAAATAAGTTGGCTATAACCGGGCTTAATGGGCTTCCCATTGCCACTCCTTCCACCTGTTCGTAGAAGTTTCCCTTCCACACGAAATAGCTACCGGTCACGAAGTCGGTGGAGTCCTTGATGTAACTGGTGCCGTGTCCTACGTGTGGTTGGAGCAGCGATGCCAAGTGTTTAGCCAAGTAATACGTTGGTGATCCGGGTGCGCTAACTATTGGTCTTAACGGGACATCTATTTTGTGTATCTTAATTAGTCCAGAGAGCCTTGGTGGAACAGTCTCCATCCTCACAATGCGCTTCTTGATTTATTCTGACAGTGATGATGACTTGATGAGCCGGTTGGTAAGACGTAGTCTAGCTTGCTTCGGATCCTTTTTCAGGGGTTTGTAGCTTGCCGAGTCCAAGAGTTCCTCAATCTTCCTTTCGTAGTCCTCGGTCTTCAGAAGAACGGTTGCGTTTCCTTTGTCCGCTGGGAGTATGATGATACCCTCATCCGTGTTCAGGCTACGCAGTGCCAGTCCTTCACTTCTCGTCAAGTTAGTCTTGGGTGGTTTTGCCTTCCTGAGGGAACGAGACTTAAGGAGCATAAAGCAAGCTGCAGGCTAGGACAGACAGAGAAGTCTGCTGTACACGCACTGGGCAGCGTGAAACACAGGAATCACTTTGAGAGCTGTAAGTTACTAGCATCGGTCAACGGCTATCACAACAGACCCTTAGACTCAACCAAATCGGGAACCCGATCTTTAGGAACGCCCGAGCAGTACCGATCGATATCCCGAGACCAACCGAAGCGGAACAAGCCCCGCCCACCACCAATCGGCATAAATACAACCTGCGCAGGAGAAATCGTCAGTTTACGTCCAACATCGGAGATGGAAGGACCTCTGAAGAAGCTCGCCACTCGTGCTAGCGAAACGTTAGGAAGTAATTCCAACCGACGACGTCCTTAAAACCCGAATCAAGATAATAGTTTCATTTTCTAGTGATTCCTGGAATTCTTGCACTTTTCTCCTTGGGTTATGATATGAATCCAAGAATAATAATACCGCCAAACCTGAAGCCAAAACCTGGTACAAATTTGGACCTACTTGCGAGTAAAATCAAAAGTGTATACGCTGGTAACGGGACATTCCTAGGAAACACCTCTACATTTATTGAGGTAAATATACTTTATCTACAAACAAAATAAAGACATGACAAACGTTGGCGAAGCAGTGTGTGCACTCATTTATTTCGAAATGCTTAATGATAGTTAACACTTTCTTAATACATTTTCCTCCTCTTAGGTGCCGTCTCTGCTGAGGTTGGCGATCACCATGGCAAATTCATGTCTATGTTGGGCTTATTGGATTAAGGTGTTACTATCTGTGTCTATCCAGTCTCTTAAGTTTCTTTTTTCTTCCCATACCTCACCTTCCTTCAATCTTCCCTTGCTGTATTAGTTGTACTTGTTCATATTCTATGTGTCACATTATATGATCGAGATAGGTTGTTTTCTGATTTTTGATTTGTTCGTTATCTGTGGGAGGGTATCCATTCTACATTGGTCGTTCTAGTAGTCCAGGCTATGCCACATTTCAAACACTTAGAGCATTCTGAGATCATCCCGCTTTAAAGTGCAGGTCTCACATCTATATAAAAGCAACGGCCATACATGGCACTTGAGTGTCCTCAGTTTTACTCCAATTGACAAACGTGGGTTACACAGCACGCTACGCATCTTCACGAAACCCGCCCTAGCTATTTCAATGCGTCTCTTGATTTCTCTCGAATGCTCGAGATGATTTTTGATTTCTCTGCTGAAATAATCTACATTTTGAAAGGTGGTGTTATAAATTTCAGTATTTATTTGTTGTTCCGGTGGAGTCCGACTAAACACTATAGTCTTGGCCTTTGAGGTATTGATGTCCAATCCCATTCTGGCATTATGTTCCGTTATATATTCATCAACGTTTGCAGCCGTTCTTCCGATTTCCCTTTGACTAAGGTATCATCGGCGATCTGAGATTGTTTGCGTTGATTTTTGCTCCTTCGGTGAGGTCTTCTAATGATTGTTTGATTATATTTTCGGATTATACATTGAGTAGTAACGGGGAGTGGAAACATCCCTGGAGGATACCTCTTTCGATCTTAATATCGGAAGTGTTACCGTCTGCTGTCCAAACGCATCCCTTTTGGTTCCAGTACATGTTGCGTATCATAATTATATCGTGACTATCCAACCCGAACTCTTTCAGAATTTCTATTGGTTTTTGATTTGTATGCGATCAAAGGCTTTCTTGTAGGCAGAGGTATATATTTTCGATCTTAGCCAGTCCTGGGGTATATGTTCGACTTCGAAATTGCATTAAGTATGTGCGTCAGTCTATTTATAGCGTCGTCGCCAAGGTGTTTAACTGGTTCTGGTAGGGTAGAATCTTCACGTGGTGATTTATTGTTTTTAATTTCTGCGATTGATCGGTCTACTTCTGACGTGGGAAATGTAAGGATGTTTCTCTTTTCGATAATTGGCCCATCCTGAGGTCTTTCGTCTCCAAACAGTTCTAACAAGTATTGCTCCCAGATTAATTTTTGTCTAACAGGGTCTAATCCGATTTCGTTGTTCTTGTTTGTTACCAAGGAGACATTTTTGGGGGCCCGGAAACGTGCGACTTCTTTGATTTTCTCGTGAAGTTCCCTATATTTATGTTGTTCTTTTAACTATTCGACTTCTCTACATTGTGTAGTCAGCCACTGTTTCTTCGCAGTCTTGAATTTTTTTTGGATTACACGATTTATTTTTCTATACTCATTATTGTTCTTTAGCCTTCGTCTTACGTCCACTAGCCTTAATATCTCTTTAGTCATCCATCGTTTTCTCTTCTTGCGATCTTTCCTGCCTATTATTTCTTGTTCAGTCACGATACGTTTTAAAGTATGACAAATGTGCACAATATGATTTTATTTTTTTGTGCACAACGTCAACTTTAGGGACACATCTAGTACACCAGCCAATATATATTCACAAATAGGATAATTCAGATTAAGCTCGTAGTATTAGAATTTTGGGAATGGAAAACTACGTGGAGGCAATTGCCATAGAGCCGATAACACTTAAATTTATGATGTCGCTATTTTCTTCTAAGTAGGCTTGATCAAAATTTGTCAAATTTACAACTCATTTACAACTACTTGAGCGAAGGTAATCTTAAAATCTACATTTTTCTCAAAGATGCGTGATCTGAATTGTCTTTTTGCTTAAAAGAAATTTTCGAATTGCATCACCAAAAAAATGAAACTCAAATGAGCTCAATCATAACACTTTCATGTATAGTGCCTCCAGTTTAAGAATTTTCCCATCTCCGTTAAACATATTCATATTCCGAGAACTTGGTTCAAATTATGTTTATATTTCAACAATCGACGACTAGTAAAATAACTTGTAATTTTCAACTAAATCTAAATCTAAATATTCGTTTTTGGAAACCAAGATGGCATTCTTATATCCTACGACACAAAGCGCCATTTTAATGATTTTCTCATGGCGGCAAGAGCCCGAAATACCTAATATTAAAACAAAAAGTTCTTGATCACCAAATAGCATTTCGCGCCCTGGATATACAAATAATTAAGCTCCTTCAGCATCAAGTGCTCAGACACACCTTTATTGACTTAATTTTAAACTATTACTCTATATATTTCAATTTAATGTAAAACCTTTCCTCATAACAGTATGCGAGCGATACCTTGTTCATGAGATCCACCATAAAGCAAGTTGAGCTTCAATCCAAGTACACCCCTGTGTATTTTTATGAATTCTCGTATTTCGGAGCCGTAAGCCATGGCATAGTAGAAGGTATGTCTAAATAGAGATTGTACAGAGGTGATGCAAACTCATTCAATTTTAGGTGTCGGTAAAGTAGGACATGGTGAAGATGTGTACTATCTTTTCAATACGACTGGACATGAATTGACTACGAGAGGAGAGTTTTTAATTAGACGGAAAATGGCCAGGCTGTGGACCAACTTCGCGAAGACTCTGTAAGTGGTGTGTTTAGAGAGTGTTCATTAACTAATTTTTTGGTTACTAGAAACCCCACCCCGAATCCAGCGGATAGCTTGCTCAAAGTAAGATGGCCTCGAGTGTCTAGACTCAATATGCCATATCTAGATATAGGCGAGGCTATTCAAGTTAAATACGGTAAAAAAAAGAAAGAAATGGCAATGTGGAATGAGGTATATTACGTATATGGACAGCAACCTTTTGACGGATTCTAATTACATGGAAATACAGACACACCATCATTATAATTATATTATATGTTTCAATAAAAACACATTGATGACTTCTGTTTCTACGTTGTTTTGCCCATAGTTAAATCGCAATACTGTTAGGACTTTAAGCGATAGCAATATGGATATGTGAAATCGTATTCTGTGTGAAACAAGATCGTAACCAACATTGCCAATAACGTTGATAATCAGTTGTTGGACGTCTGGTCCGTATAATTTTTAAAGCTTTTTATCTAGAAGCAAAGAAGAAGAATGCCACTTTCTCAAACAGTTTCATTTCATTTCATTCTGTTTTCTTATATCCGTAAGTAAAATGATATTATTTCTGTCGAAATATGCTCTAGGATTCTGTAATTTTGGATTGGATAATGCAGAAACAAAAAAAGTTTAGGGGCAAAAGAAATTTTCTAGGAAACTTAATACATCTGGGAAGCGACATACAATTGCCGATTTCTTTAACAATTCTGCTTACTGTAGGTTGATTAATTACTCAATTTAAATGTTAATCTGCTGCAATCTGACCAAGATCTTGAATTGAACTGAGGTGGCTTTTACTTGATGAAAATCCATTTATCAAAATAAATAAGAACTAAAAGTTCTGATTTTCACGAAATTATATATTATGACATGACAATTGTTTCGACAACACCGCGTCTTTATCAAATGTAATATTTACAAACTACCTGCTACTATATATACCGAAAAATGACCATAAAACCTTAATTAATGTTGTTGCGAGAATTTAAGTTCAATAAAGGAGAGGTATTTAAAGCTAATTGAACGTTAAGCAATACATTTGAATGTCTCATTTTGTTAATCTCCATGGCTTCCAATAAATTTAATTTTCTACTTTTTGTGGCTGTGTGTAATATATCAAAATTGTCGTCAAAATGTGTATTTCTGTGTTTAAGTGTGTAGCATAATTATAATCTAGACTATTGTTTTTAAACGCTCTTATATGTTCGTTAATGCGTTTCTTGAAGGATCTACCTGTTTGTCCAATATAAATGTTAGGACAAGATCCACATTTCAACCTGTAGACACCTGATTTTTGGGATTTTGGACATTTCGATTTATTGTTTTTTAAATATTTTCCTATTGTGTTGTTAGTTCTGAAAGCTATTTTTAAACCACATTTTGACAAATGTTTTGAAACTTTTTCGCTAGGTTCTCCTACGTATGTAGTTGTTTTAAATTGTTCGTGTTCTGTATTTGGTTTCGGAGTTTACTGTTGTCTGTATTTGTTTTTTATTTATAATTTTATATTTTATTTTATAGATAAATATTTTATTTTATAGATAAAATTTCTAAAATTTTTCTAAAATTTTCTAAAATATTTGGTGGCTTTTTCGCTTAGTTAAAATTAGTTAATGCATTTCTCGTTAGGAATTTCAGAAGGAATGCTATTGTCGGAGTCCCGTTGCTTTCTCTTATCCTGAGGTTAGGGGCATGGACAGGGTCACTATTATAATAATTTCCCGTTGGTTCTATAGTTTATTATTGACGTGGATGGCACGAGATACATAAAATTATGCGACTGACTTCAACGGTATAGAGCTTAATGATTCTCAATATTTTTGAAGAGTTACAAAATAAACAGCCACATGCATCCATAAAATTACTCAAAAAAAATGAAAACCGTCAACTGGTAACAAAAATAAGCGCAAACATACTAACTTAACAATTAGATTTAGCAATGCTTTGTTAACTGATGCGTGAGATTGTTAAATGTGGAGAAACAAAAGAACTATTGCTCTTCTAACTAGAAACAGAATAGGTATGATTGACTCCATATAGTCGCTGTATACCTATCAGAGAGACAAGATACGGGTACTACTTAAGAAGTAGTGTAATAGGGCTATGCCAGACTAGTAGAGTAATTCCAGAACGGCACAGCACGTGGCGATTGCTATTATTCGGCTGCGGTCGGACGGTGCCGTTGTTGCCTAGCAATTGCGTGATTCTATTTTGTGTTTGTGCAGGTTTATTTTATAGTGGTGCTCTGTTTTTTAATTTTTAGTTTTTTGTAGTTGATTATATTTATAATTTCTGGCAAGTTTGTACAAATATTGTTTAAAAAAAGGGTATTAAAGTAAAAGTGCTAATAATTACAAAAAAAAATTACAATAAAACGAAACTAAAAATCAAAGATAACTATGTTGGTTAGTCTGCAGTGGGTTCTTTTTCACTGAAAAAAAGTTGTTTTAGTTTTATTTTTAAGTTTATTGACATGACTTACAAATGTGCACTGATTTGTACGTGTTGTTTTAGGGCCCTAGTTTCACGGTATTATTTAGATAAATTAAATCATACTTTTTTATCTACTACATACTTAGATGGTTATGGTTGACACATCACGAAAATCTGAAAGAACTTTTAATTTATCGTTGAAAAAATACCATTGATTAGATCAACCACCTCTATTGGTCTTTGACTTATTTGCGTTTATAAAGTTCAAGGTCTTTTTTCAGTTCCTTATAATAAAACTAATATTTGACAATAACAATTTTGGCAATTGTAATAAAAAAAACTTCAATTGAAATATTGAAATTGTCCACTATCTACCTCAATACATTTTACAATATACTCAATTTATTTGCGTGTTACTTACTTCTTGTGCCAATGTATTGACTGGTTCCTCGACATAATCTCTCTTAGTGAGATGTGTGATATGAATTACGTTTTTCCTCAAAAAATTATAAGTGGACTTGCGGCACCTTGAAAATATCTTCAAGAATACCCGAATAGAAGGCAATCTAATTATAAACTTTTTAGTAATTGTACTATAAAAACTTTCGAGAGGACCCTGTGTATAGAATTGAAAGCATATTATGATTATGATGACTTTAAAATGTATTATTATTGTCATACGAATTTATATTATCAATACAGATCAAACAGAAACATAGTATAATAGTTTCAATAAAAATATATTCGTCAATTTGCCTAATATAAAACTTTTGTTTAATTTGGATCCTATATACATTTTCGATTTACCAGAAAGGAACTGATATCGGCTCTGATAATAATCCTAATAGTGTAATAGAGTTATGCCAGAACAGTAATATTATTCTAATTACATTTTTTTGATAATAGTTTTGGTTAGTTTAGCTGGTCAATGGTTGGTGATTAGGGAAGGACAGGACTCACGCATAAGCTATGAAAAAAATTACAATTAATTAAAATTATAAGTAATTGTTGCTTTATTTGCACTAAAAGAAGTATTATAGATTTGTGCATATTTTATGTCATTTGCTAGATTTTTTAATATTTGTATTGTAGAGGAAATGGTGGAATTAAATCGACAACATTAGTTCGGTCCTCAGGTAAGTATAAGGTTATGTTCTGAGTTGTTAATTATAATTTTTCGATAAGCAAAGCATACATTTTTTCAACGGATTATGATGTGGGCCTTCATGTTGCTAATTTTGAATATTATAAATGAAGCAAATTTGAAATATTTCAAAATAATTTTTTGATTTTAAAAAGAGGGAGAACTGGAATCCATGGCAGCTATGGCAGCAGCTGTGTTGGCACTAAGGCAGAAAAAAATGGTTTAACTTGAGGCATCAACAAACTTTTAGATACCAAGAACTACGTTATTCAGAGTAGCTGCTGAAAAGGAGACACCAACTGAACAGCTTCTCCGTAAAAATATGGAGCGAAAAACTTGTTTTTAATAAACACTTTGGTGGAATATGCGCTTAGAACGGAGTGCAAATTATTATTAATTAACTGTTAGAAATAACATCCCAAACCCATTTAATTCAAATGCAGCTGGTCGATATTGGCTAAAAGGGTTTTTATCATGAAACAAAAATAAATATTCTGTCTATGCGGTGCGTCATTCGCAGGTGTCCTTGTTTTCACAAAAGGATGGATAAGTTCTACGATCTTCTAGAACACGTCTATGAATCAAAGAAGATTACACTTGACCGCATTTTCAATGTAGACGTAAAAGTACGTCCATAGTTCATTGATGGACTCGGTAAAAAGCCAATTGGCGCTGTGACGCCGGCGGAAAGAGGTTCCCTCATTACAGTATTGGTATGTATGTGCCCAACTAGTATATTTGTGCCACCAATAAAGATTTTTGCCTATACATTCAATAGGCAAAGCACATCCGTCCGGATGGATTCAAACTAATTTGTTTACACGTATATGGCTTCGTGAAAAGAATAAGCCTTTGACTGCACGTGCTATTGTCGAATTGTATAGAAAGGCGTATCGCAAGTGTCAAACCGGCGAAATATCAACCAACGGTTTTAAAATAGGAGGAATCTACCCTTTTGACACACTTTAGTGAGGAGGATTAACTCAAATAGAGGTCGAAAAGCAACAAAATCAACAATTCTCTCTAGTTCTCCATACAAAAGAGAAATCACAAAATAAGGTGATGGAATTAACTCTAAATGAAACCTAAACACATAGTATAACGCAAACTTAAATATTTCAAATTCCTCAGAAGAACTCGCTCTGGAATTCGATTTAGACAGAGAGCCAGAAGATAACGAGACTATATGTTTTTTCTGCATTGAAAAATTTTGTGAAGACGTACGGGGAGAAAAGTGGGTTCAAGCATGTGAATTATGGAAGCACTGTGAGTATGCTAGATATGGCGCCGAAACCTATGTGTGCGACTGCTGTAGATAATCTATTCCATTTTAAAGCAAATTATTTATTTCAAACCAAATCGAAATATGCAAATTTGTTTGAAACCATTATTTCGAAATAGCCTTACTTTCTCTATCGATAAATTAGTTGGTACATACGTCTGTAATCATAAATCTAACCTTTGTTCTGATTGTTAAAGTGCCATCCTATTCTACCATAAAATGTTTTATCAAATATGGAGATTGGTTTTGATAACTTTTTTTTAAATCATTTATACCTAATAATAATAAAACAAGCTTAAAATGTTCAAAAAATACTCAACAAAAACATTTTTTGCATAAAACACACCTTGTACAATCTTAAATATAAGTATAAGTATATTTTAAGCATTCTCCTGTACGTCCACATTCGAATGCTTCGATTTTATCGACTATTTCTTTATTGAGATTCCATGTTTCGCATCTATACATATATATAAGAATTGACCATATGTAACATTTTACAAAGTTTTCTCTTACACATTAGTTCTAATGTACCTATAATTGGTAAATGTTACTTCAAAATAACTGGAGCCATAAATTTCAAAAATGTCATTAAAATGTGTCAAAAGTTGACGTTATTTATTACTTTTTATTAACGTTTATCAATCTGCACTTAACTATCTTATGTCAAAACGTTCCGCTTAAACACTAACATAATTATCATAATTGCTACCTCGTTCGTCACCGCAACCAAAAAATAGTTCCTTACACTGCCTGTAAAATTCCGAAGGTCAGGCAGCTTCTATGTCCACGTGTCGTGAGCATAAAACGGTTATGAATGTAGAAGTTAGTAATTATTTTGTTTTCTAAATAACAAAAATAATTACGAATTGTTTTTATTTGTTTTTGTTTTCAAAGGTGGATGAAACGATATCTAAAGTGACAAATAGAAAACATAATTTCAAAAAATTTTCAAGTTCAATTATTGTTTAGCACTTCCAGTTGTTAACTATCGTTTCGTTCTATTTTGGACACAACAAATTTTCATTGAAAACAATTTCTTTTAATATCTTTTGTAGAATATAAAACCAATACTGTTTTTATTTTCAATAAGTTGATTATTTCTAACGTTCTAACTATCATTTTCTCTCTATTTAAGTTACTTTGATTAGAATGAGAAAATTTACCTTCTCATTACCTTTTGTTTTTCGATTTTGCCAATATTCCACCATAATTTTTAATCCAAAGTGTTTTGATAAAAATATTTAATTTAAAGTCAAATTTTTTGAAAAATGGTACATCATTTTTCGCTTAGGTTAATAGTAATAAACCCCGCTGTTAGAAAACTTGTCAATAATAATGACACTTTATTATTACAACCATCAAAATTACAAATACTAAGTAAATCCAACTAATTATAACCGTCAACAATATTCATATATAAAATAGTTATTAATTTAATTTATAAGCGCTAAAATTAGGTACACGCACACTTATTAATTATGTATTAGTAATATAGCTCCGAACGCAAACGAAAAAGGGGATCAAGAACGAAAGGAGCACATATTATTCAATTGCCTTTTGATAAGAAATTCTAAATCAATGCGCATGTGTAACAAATTTGCCTGACTTCAGGTATTAAGGGTAATCTACTATTATCCACTTTCCACTCCACTAAAACAAATGTCAATTTAAAATAGATAAGATTGTCTCGAAAATGCTTCCTCGAAAAAAATGCTTTGCCTATATATATATATATAAAATGCAATCAAGCTTTTACAAAAGTCATAGTCATTAAAGAAACGATGCAAGGTCTGCTTATAGGTTTTCTACTTATTTCATTGACTGTAGGTGGTTTTTTAGTGTTACCGATAAAACATTTTAAAAGCTTGCTGTGTTAATAACTATCATAACACGCGAAAAGTTTTGGTATATCGATTCCCTCATAAAATTTCTTTCCGTTTTTAAAAATTTAAATTTAGTTTTTCTCTAAGTTACAATTAATATGATTAACTTTTATAATTCGAAAAGAATGTTCATATAATGCTAAATACTTTCATTCTATTCAGCGTTCAGATATTCATGTGGATCTGCCAGATGGAACTGTACGTGGAACTAAAGTAACAACGAAATACTACAGCTTCAACGCCTATCGTGGCATTCCATTTGCGAAGCCGCCACTAGGATCACTTCGATTTCAGGTAAGCAAAAGGTACGTTGTAGGAAAAAAAATCACCCAACTCATCTTGGTAGGGACCTGTTCCTAACGACCCTTGGAACGGTACATTGGATGCTACTGAAGTCAAATCTTGCTGCATAGATTTATTTGGTAGCGGATCACAAAGCGAGGACTGTTTGTATATTAATGTATATACGCCTTCTCGAAACGTAAGCTTACAAATGAATTTTTAATTCTCTGAAAAATATTGTAAAAGTTTAGATAGTTTCGACAACAGAACGTTTTATATGTGTTACCAATATTTTAAAAGTTTAAAGCACTCTTGCTGTTGATATATTTAACATACAGATTACAGAAAAACTCCCAGTTATGTTCTGGATATACGGTGGAGGATTTACCAGTGGATGTGCCACTGAGACCACTTTTGGTCCCTTCCCACTACTAAACGAAGACGTTATAGTGGTTACATCGAATTACCGGCTTGGTGTATACGGTTTTTTGTCTACTCAAGACGATGCTGTTTTGGGCAACGCTGCTTTCAAGGATCAATTGCTTGCCATGAAATGGACTCAGAAAAATATCGAATATTTCGGTGGTGACCCGAAAAAAGTGACCATTTTCGGTCAAAGCGCCGGAGGCATGTCTGTGGGGGCACACCTGGCTAATAAAAAATCGTCTGGGTTGTATAGAGCGGCCATTTGCCAAAGCGGTTGTTCTTTATCTCATTTTATCATGACCACCCAACCTGATCCTAGGAAGGGTGCTTACGATATTGCTAAAGCCATAGATCGGTCGATTACTGATCAGAACACAACCGTCGAGATCCGGGACTTCCTCCAAAGTCAACCAACTGATGTGATCAACAAAGCATTTATAGCCAATCCATCGGTAAGTGTAAAAAATAAATACGTCCTTATAAAATGGATATAATTAATTTTGTGTCTATTTTTTGACATATATCGGTGTTAGAGGCGGGTACATATAAAAATTGAATAAATTGACATTCTTTAGGTTTTTACTATTAGCTTTCACACAAATACGTATTCTATCCAGATATTATGTCATGATATATTTTGGAGATAAAGGAAAGCAATTTTACACATTACAAACATTCATCGATGAGAATCGCAGATAGGCGATTGAGTTGATTGAGTCTAAGTTTTATTATTATAATAATTTCAATTAGACTCTTGTCGCTTTTCCATTGGTTCTATTGGTGTGATGGTATTGCCACTAGCGGTTTCCTTGCAGACGGGACCGGTGATAGAGGCGGATTATGAAGACGCATACGTAACCGAATACAGCTTCGATAACATAGCATCCGGCAACTTTAACCAGGTTCCCACTATCATAGGAACAACATCGGCAGAGTCGCTTACATATCTAGCATGTAAGGCATCCATGATTTAGAAAATTACTCTTGTAGTCTTGTTAACGAATAGTTGATTTTCAGTGCCTCAGCTGGTTCAAGCTGTAGCTATTTTTTACGACTTGGATCCCGTTGCTTTAATACCTTCAGATCTCAAACCAAAGTCGGGAACAAATCTGAAGGAAATTGCAAACAAAATCAAACAAGCGTACACGGGAGGTGGCTCGTTTCTCTTCAATCTCGCTGCCGTTGTTGAGGTTAATACTGACGCTGACTCAATACTACTTCTTTTGATATTTAAAAAACAAATAGAATAAAAAATTATCAGGAAAAATTATTTGGCACAAAAAAAAGGTTTCATAATACCAGTTATATACCCCAACCGCTTAACTTTTTAGTTAGGTAAGAATAGTAAATCAAATATAATTTCAATATTCGAGTTATCGATCTGCATTCGAGTTTTCTAGCGTTAGCTCTATATCTCCTTAGTTTTCAATGAAAATCTAATACTCTCTGCTACTTGGAGTTACAATGTAGTCAAGCCAAGCGAGTCTTGTGTAAAGTATTGACTTTTTCAGTATACCAGCGATAACTTGTTCGTAAGATCATCTTTGAAGCAAGCTCAACTTCAATCCAACTACACGCCGGTATATTTTTATCAATTCTCATTTTCGGGAAACATTGGTCTGCTGCATACTAAAATCCCTGGTATGCCTGATGATGCCCGATGTAATCGTTTGAAAATTAATATCAGATTTGTAGGTACGGGCAAGGTAGGACACGCCGAAGATGTAGTTTACCTTTTTAACTCAACCTTGCCCTTGACCACCGCAGATGAATTCCGAACGAGGAACAGATTAGTGAGGCTTTGGGCTAATTTCGCCAAGACGCTGTGAGTCTAGCAGTCCGTTTTTAAGTTTAGTTTTGATTTTTGAACGCTAGATGGTTTGGAAAATAGCTAATAAGGTTTGGCATGCTTAGGAATCCCACTCCTGATGAATCGGATCCGCTCATCAACTTAAAGTGGCCCCAAGTATCAGGATCGTTTATTCCGTACTTGGATATCGATAAGAATCTTGAAGTGAAACTCGGCAAAAAGGTTACCGAAATGGCAATGTGGAACGAGGTCTACTACAATTACGGGAAGCAACCGTTTACCGGATTCTAAATTACCAACTTTTGTGTTTGATACATAGGAACGTGTTTTTGTATACTTGTGAATTTGTAGCCCCTGGCAATTTTGAAATATAGACAATTCAGTCAGATATTTTACGTTGTTTGTAATTTTCGAAAGCTTTAGAATATTCCTTCCCCAAAACGATAGTAGTACTAGCAAATTTTTCTTTTCTTTTGAGCAGCGAAGGATTGGGAATGGACTCGTTAAACTTAAAACTCTGCATTCTGGTTTTATCTAATTTGAAGATACAATTACACCATAAATGTGTATAGATTATACCTTTATCTAATGAGGTTGAATTTTGCCCCAGTTTAAAATAATATTAAAGTGATATAATTTTTTGTAGAACCTCGAATAAGAAACACGTCTATTAAATAGATTAGATTATTTCTATAATATAGTTCTCTAGGTAAGCGTTTAGTTGATTTTAAAAAAGTACTTATCTCTTTCAAGTATAGCAGTAATGTATGAATAAATAAAATCGGACAAAACATTCACGAACATAGAAGCTCATGATGCTCCGTCAACAAGTATGCTCTCCGGTCAATTGCGGTAAGTCTTTTATATACATTCGAAAATATTCGATGATTCGCATGGTTGCATTGTCAATAATTTGATTGAATACAATGCTTTCTATGTACAATAAGAAAATTGTATTTAATTGTTGAAATTATAGCACTATATCTCGTTTTGTGGTTGCGGTTTTGCGGTTTTCGCTGTTAAATATTTATCAGAAATCGAGACCATGCATGTAAGTAGATTTTGCTCTACTGCGACCATGTTTAAAATGGTCACTCTATTATGGATTGACACCTTATCTCAGTTCCTGTAAAAATGATTAAAATGGAGAAAAAGTTGTTTTTAACGATTTCAAGTTTACTAAAATGAGTTAGGACTTAAGAATACTACCTATAACCTTTTTTGCAGAGATAGAGCAAATACCGTTAAACCAAACAGAACAGCCTTAACTACGGTTAACAGTAGACATTTTTGTAGTAACAGTCTTAAAATTGAAGAAAATTGAAACAAATTTCCAATTTCTAGGACCGTCCGTTTGCGTGCTACTGTACCTAGTTGCTCTTGGTATATAGGGGGTATTTTGGTTATTTACTGTATATATAATAATAAAATACTCTGTTAAGGGTTGAATAACATTTTTCGGTAACTTCATATTTTTTTTTTGTTTTGGGTTAACTTTTTATTTTCGCGCTGTGTATACAACACCCCCACCATACCCAACCTTGGTTAAGCCGCGCGAAAAGACAGACTTGCGTGAGCGTCCGTAGTGCGAACCACGAAAAAACAAGCTCTCTTCTGTGACCGGTTCGCGAGAACCCCGCGCTGTGTTGTGGTCCTTACCACCCCCAACCCTCCAGAAAATACCCCTAAGAAGACCCGGCCGGGCAGACGACGACGCGGGAAACCATCAAGGTGGGTGGTTAACCGTTTCGGGTGTTGTATCTTTCTCATTTAAATTTTGAGGGTGATTTACAACCACCTTCCCCCAAGCCTTTACATACTCAATAATAGTTAAAAGCATTTTTTATCAAAGGGGGACAAATGTTGAATTTTAGAAAATAGAACAAATTTTATAAAAAAGATTTTGAAATTGGTTGAAAAATATTCGAATGGATAAAAAACTACAAGTGTCAAACAAATCATAGGAAAATTTTAGAACCGCTGGGGTTGGCCAATTAAGAAAACTTATCAAAAATTCTCATTTTTGTTTCTGAATATTGCAAATAATAAAATCTTTTTATTTTTATTTAATATTAGTATTTTCTCCATTATTAAGGTTTTCTTTATAGAAAATATTCAAATCAACTATTTTTTATATTAAAATAACAACAGCCAAAAAAAGAGATTAATTTAAAATATAACAAAATTATCGAAAAAATTATCAAAATAATGACATTCCTGAGAACGTTTTTGTATTGTTCTATGCGTTTTTTTGTCATATTTCAAGATCATGCCAATACCATACCATAAAATTATAAAAATTGGGATTTCAGAACGATACAAATATGTTTAGGTATTGTATATATAGAATAAAGATACGTTTTAGAGCATAGAGAAAACAATATATGTAGATCTTTTTTAAAAATGATGCAAAGTAAGCGAATTGGGTATCAAATCAGATTTTGAGAAATAATATCACACTAATGAAAAAAGGTCATAAAGCGTTAACCTAATCAGAATATTCAAAACATTGCTGGCACATTTTTCTGATTCTTTAAATTAAACAATATAAGAAATATAGAATAAGGAATGGTACAAAAGAAAGATGCAATGACAAACATAATTCTTGAAATTTATCAAAACGTAAATAAAACATCATTGTGGCAGATCTGCTAATAAAACAAATAAAGATTTTAGTATAGTTAGAAGGTCTTCTTCGAGTACACATTTTAGTCAAACGTCTTTACTCGCAGCCAAATCAAGTTGAAAAATATATAATAAAAAGAATGTGAATTTATTAATGAAAACGAAATTAGTTGTTCTCTGCTGGAGCTATGTAGCTTAGAGCTACTGAGCTGAATCAGCAAGTAAATTGGGCATGCATATACCTCTCAGATGTAATGTTAACAAAGAGTGACCCTGTTAAACAATAGTAACTAACTTTTCAACATTTAAGTTTAAGAAATCTGCATTATAAGAAAACGAGGACTGAAACATGGCACTGTAATGGAGTTCAATTGATAATTAATTCCTGTACAAATTAAGTATTTGTACGTTTTGAACATTGTGACGTGATTAATTAATTAATCTTATTTACCGCATATGTGATGAGATGGAAGTGTTCAAACAATTCTCGAAAAATCGAATTCAACTAAACCCGAAAAAATTGATTACATTACTAAAATATAGATGGTATAGAAATAACGACATAATGGTTCTAGCATGCAGTAAATACACACTTAAAAGTAATAAGCAAGAAACACAAATTAACTCTCAATTTACGAACCAGATATGTTCGTCTTATTTGCCAAAAAAAATTTTTTTATATTTTTATATTTTTTTAGAAGATCACACTTTCGCACTGCTTGAATCACAAAACTTTTACCAAGTGCCCTTAATAATTAAAACAAATTCCGCCGAATCGCTATCAATTTTGGGAAGTAAGTACTGGAGACGCAATTTATAAGTCGACGGAACAAAAACAAAATAATGTTATCTTTCAGTTTTGCGGCCTGAATTAATGGGCGCTGCACTCGGTTATGATATAAACTCGACTTGTTAATACCGGTGAATCTGAACCCAGTGTCGGGTTCCAATTTAAACGACGTTGCTACTCAGATTAAGCAGGCATACAGCATGTAATGTTTCGTTATAATTATAACGAGAGAAGTGAGGTTCTTGGTCGCTTGATTGAAGATATTTATTAATAAAATAAACAAATAAATACTACCCTAAGTAAATGGGAGGCGATTGTTAAACGAACAATTAACAATATGTGCCGAAGGTATGTTCGCACTGATAATAAACAAGGTTCGAACCGAAACGCACACAAGTCTGCGGTATTCGCCACTCCGCGTGGAACGGACTTACGTGGGAGGAGGATGTTCCCTTGAAGGATCTTTGAGGCGGTAGCAGGCTGCCGCCACCCAACGGTTATTCGGCGACGATGTTCCCAAGACCCAGAAAGGTGTTGACGACGTCCGATCAGTTGTCGTAAAGTGGCCTTTCACCTTACGCCAACTGGTATTATACCTACGAAATATCTGTAGTTCGAAGTCCTTTCGCTTTTTAAAAAAGAATATAAATGCTTCATAAATATATAAAGCATATACAGTAAAAATGCCTTCAGCCTTGAACACCCATCTACAGCTCTCTTTAAATTGCATTTTTTTAACAGTGCGAAGAGTCCTCTTTTGAACCACGAAAAAAGATAATTCCATACCTCATGCGCGACTGAAAGTTTGCAAAGTACATAATTTTTAAAGTTTCCTTATTCACATAATTTGCAACGACTGTAATTCCATAACAAATTGCATTTAATTTATTTAGCAGATAATCAATATGTTCAGACCAATCAAGAAATTCGTCAATTTGTAAACCTAGGAATTTAGTGCTATTTACGATACTAATATTTTCTTTACCCAATGGTATTTCAACTCTACATCATTTAGCTCTAAACATAATTAAATTCGTTTTCTCTTTGTTTAGTATCAATATATTTCCAAGAAACCAGTCACAAGCCCTTGTAAAAATATCGTTGCCTTTATCCCTAACCTCAGTGAGATTATTTCCACCTTCAAGCAGGTTAGTATCATCCGCATAGCATATTATGCTCTCTTCTTCTGACTGTTACGAAATACAAGTCATTCACAAAAATGGTAAATAAAATTGGACCAAGAATACTACCTGCCCAGACTATTTTCCTTAATATGCGAAAAATAACTAGTACCATTTTGGGTTATTCTTACTTGTTATTTCCTTCCTATTAAATATGATTCAAACAATTTTAGAACATTACCTCTTACACCGCATAGATCCAATTTTTTGAGCAATAATTCCCTGTCTATACAGTCGTATGCTCTAGAAAGATCTAAGCACGTACCTAAAGCTATTCTTTCGCCCTCCAAGTGTTTTTATTAACTGAAATATAGCGGTTTCTGTTGATTTATTAGCTACATAACCATGATGATGATTGTTAAACATTTTATATTTATTAGAAATCTCTAAGAGTCTTTTGCAAATAGCCATCTCAAATATTTTGGAAAACCCGGGCAAAAGGCTAATTGGTCTATAATTGGTAATTATTTCTGGATCTCGCTTTTTATAGAGCGGTTTTATTGGTTTACTTGGTCTGGAAAAACGTCATTTCCAAAGGATTCATTAATCAAAAGACACAACACTTTACTAACATACGGGACAGAAATTTTTATTATACTGGTTGCTTAGTCTAGTTGGTTAGTCTCGTCTATTCCTCTACTATGTTTATTTTTAATTTGTCCAGCAAAATGACAGATTTCATCCGGTGTTACCGGTGTTAAAACATGGACTGTGAATTTAGGGGTATTTTATTGGAAAATGGCCTTTTTTCTAGGTTTTCAGATACAACGCTCAACATATATATTCATTAAAATCATTTGACATTTCATTAAGATCCCCACTCATACCAATGTCAACCCCTAAACTGTTTCTTCCCAAAATCTCATTGCATATTGACCACATGCATTTGGTTTTATTATCAGAAAGCTTCAGCTTAATGTTATATGCCTGAGATCGTTCAGTTTTCAAAAGATTAACATATTTTCGCTTAACAAATCTATATTCCTGTTTATATCGAGCACTTTATCTAGCCAAAACTAACAAGATATCTAGTTTTCGCTTACATTCTCTAATCTCATCATTAACTTTATATGATTCTACACCACTAGTGTTTCTTATTGTTTTTTTAGGAAAGCATTGATCAAACAGTGTAGACAAAAGATTCATAAAAGAGTTCCACTCTTGATTGACATCGTCCATTTCTGTCATAATTACATCCTCCCACTTTTGTTCTTGTAGACAGTTTATAAAGGTTTTCTTATTTTTGTCTGAAAAATTTCTTTTAAAATGAGCCGTACGTTGTCTAAAATTCTCTAAAGGTAGTGTAATGTAATTTTCTGATCAGAAATAAAAGCGTCAAATACTAGAGCGTTTCCATATTCACAATTCACAAAGATGTGTTTTCAAAAACCGTAGGCAAAAAGTTAAATGACGAAATTAGTGAAATTAAGTTTAATTTGTGTCCATTTTCTCTAAGCATGTCTATGTTAAAATCCCCCGCAATACCAAATTTTTTATTTTCCTTAAAAATATTTAAGAGTACCTTTTCTAAGCAATATAGGAAGACGTATATAGTTCCTGATGGAGATCTGTAAATTGACAAAACTATTAACCGATCTTTCTTAAATGTGCACTCTACTGCTCAAAAACTTTTTTTATTGATAATTCACTTAGGTTATTTCTCGGTTTACACCTCACAGATTTATGCACATAAATAGCGCTTCCTCCATGTTCTCCATGTTCTCGACAAAAGGCACTTACTAGGTCAAAGTCTTTTATCCCTAACATTTTCAATTCTTCCTGAGTTTTTTAGTGTTCTGTTACGCACAATAATTTATATGAAAAGTTGTTTTGAAGCATATTATTTATGCTGTCCACCGCGTTCCCTAAAGATTGGACGTTTTGATGAATTATGGAGCATTCATCTGCAGAGTGTCTACCTTTATCAACTAAAGTATTTTTAACACACTCCTTTAACCGACAACCTGTACTCACTAGTGTTATCCACGTTAACCAAGCTCATACAAGAGCCATTAGCCAGTAAAGTAACCATAGTTTTCTACGTATTTCATTGGCGTTATTTTTCTTTAGCGTTACTAATATCATATTTCAAAAGTACTGCTGAACATCAAATATCAAAAGCCGGGTCCCGGAATAACATTTAGAAAGAACGTATTTTAAAAGCGTAAGCTATTTATAGCAAAATCAGATTAAAAAAAGTTTTTAGAAATTCTAGACCCTGCTGAAGAGTAATCCTTCGTCCTATAACGGTTGATATCAGGCAGTGGTGCCTTTTTCCGATTTGGATCTCATTGCTTCAGTTCCTTCAGATAAATTTCCAACCAATTAATTGAGTTACTATTAAAGAAAGCAGACTTTCTTTTGGTCAAGAACTAAATAGGGGAAGTTACTTTTGAACAAAAGGTCCTACAACAGTTATTTTGATTCATTACAGTTTTCTATTGATTTGTTCCTTTTGTAACTGGGTACGGAGAATTAATAATTTAGGCAACAATTAATAAAAACATAGAAATTCTAGGATTTAATAGATCTTAAGTTATGGAAAAATGGGTTTAGATAAAAATAAAAATAAAATATAATATCTCCATTGTTATTATCTACGACACTACAACGCAATACGAACTAGGTATTATTATTGTTCAGAATGTTTCCTAAAATTGTTTTTGGTTATTCCCATGGTCCATAAAAAACTATAGTGATAAAAAATGTATGCGTTTGCTTTGAATTATTTTCTACTTATGTGCCAGTTTTTAATTAACTTTATGTTAACCGTGCTCTCTAAGATCACAAAACCCCAATTTTTAGCCTGCAATTAGAAAAAAGAAATGAAAAAAAAAAAAAAAGAAAGGAAAGAAAGTTCAAATATAATATTAGTTACAATGTTTTCTCTGATATCACATCATCAAATAATTTAGTTAGAATTTTTTTTTTCATTTAATAAATATTAAAATAAACGACCTCTGGACATAGGTCTATTTCAATCAATTCCCTTTTTCCCGAAATATTGGCTTGCCAATCACTAAAATTCCAGATAAGTTGGTTCAACAGATGAGTTATTCAGTTTAATTTTAATCTATGAGTAGCAGAGAAAGTGGCACCAAGTGTGAGAATGGTTTATTGCATACAGGGATATCCATAAAAATCCTGAAGTGAAACTCGGCAAAAAGATTTTTGAAATGGCAATGTGGAACGACATTCGCTACAATTACGGAGAGCAACCATTTAACGAATTCGAAGTTACCATCCTTTACGTTCGATGTGTAGTAATATATTTGATAATATTGATTATTCACCCGAATTTTCAAATTCCAAACATTCTTTTTAAAGCGTTTTGAGCAAATACAAACTGTTAGGTTTTTAGATAGCGATGTCACACATTTCCTTTATCGAAGGAACTGTACACTGTGTTCGCGAATGTGAACTTGTGCTTCCTATTTGATCATGCTTTCTTATGTTAGTAAAAACCGTGAACGAAAAATATATAACATTGAATGAATACCAGTGGGATGATGTCCAACATCTGAAAGAAGTACGCATCAGAAGAAGAAAAAAACATGTTATCTAAAAAGGCTCAAGTTATTTATTAATTGAAATGAAAGTATCTTCAATATTTTAACGGACCACTGTGATTGTCAAATACAATGAGAAAGTTGTATTCATCTGTGTAAAAAAGCGGATTTAGAGAAACAATCTGAGTACGCCACTGCATTTGACTCAAAAAGTTAAGCATTCCATTGAGAAATTTTCATAAACAATACAGTTACGGTTGAGTCGGACCCCGGAAGTAGATTCTATAAGAAAATCAACCCCAATATAGAACAAAGCCTCTCAATAGCAAACTCAGAGCTGCAAACGTCACTTTTGACATAAAATTCAAAATATGTCAGAGGCCGTAAGATTTAGCTATAGGTGAATATTAGGTACAGCTATATGAAAAATATTCAAGAATGTATTAATGCTACGGTAAAAAAATTAAAGTTCTTAGTTTCCAAAGAAAATATGTAAACCCAATACACAACAAACTCTTTTTTTAGTGTTTTTTTTTTATATTTTTTACAGGTTCTAAGATCTATAATAAACTTACCGCCCGGGAAAGATAAATGCAAAAACAAAGAACGCAGTTCAGTTCTAAGTATGTCTCTGACAATGAATGCAAGTTCTCTTTGTCATGTAGTATAAAAAATTGACTTATTTTTCAATTGAAAAAATAAAATTATGAATAGATATACTCCGGCCAATTAGCTTTGAGAGAGAATAGAGGGTACAACAAACTGCCTTTGAAGAAACAACGCTTAAATTATTTGCTATATTAGCACATAAAATGAGTTCTATTCTGTTAATTACCTTAAAGGGGCTAACCATCCAGTACCACCGCTGCTTAGTTAATCCATCATTTTTTATTTTATCTATCATTTGCCAATATTTACCTGACAATCTCTCTGCTTCAGAGTGCCGACTTTTTGATCGATCTTCCGGATGGAACAATTCTTGGATCTGAGACGAAAACCGAAAACTATACTTACTATGCCTACCGAGGCATTCCATTTGCAAAACCTCCACTAGCAAAATTTGAGGTTTCAGGTAAATATCGTGGGACAATCCAGATAATTTTCAAGCGTTAATTTTGCAAATGTTTGCAGGCTCCAGTACCAAATGTCCCATGGGACGGAATTTTAGATGCTAGTGAATTGAAAGACTGTTGCATACCTTTAGGCTCTTCTCGAGAACAACAAAGTGAGGATTGCCTATATATCAATGTTTTCACACCACCGCAAAATGTAAGATGATCTTCGTTAGTTGTATGCATTAGCGTTAGTTGTAGCAAATCAAATATTAATGAAAAAAATGCATAACATAATGAAAAACAATGCCAAGCAAAAAGGATAAGCGGTCGATCATTTTCTAGCAACCCCTAAATCTCTATACCTAGAGCAATTTACAATTTGACAACGCATACTTAATTGGTGGCGACCTTTCAAAACACTTATTTGATCTAAGCCTATAGACCATTTTCCGTTTAATGAGAGTTGCAAATTCTTGAAAATGAAATTGTGTCACCACTAAAACAATAGAAAATCAATAATAATAATAAGCACTTCACGCTTATATGTTCAGTTAATTATACGATCATGCTGACAGGAATACCTTGAACATGGTTTATTTAGATTACTTCTTCAATTACCGGGAAAAGCTAGGGATATAATAGCGATCATTGTCGGAAAATTTTGTGCGAATATTAACGACTTAAGAAATACAGGGTGCTCTTGGATGTTAAATTATTGAGAATTTCTTCTTTTTAATGTGATCTAAAGAGACTACGATAAATAACGATGATGCGCGTCGCGGTCTTGCTGTCTTTATTTCCAGGCAGTGCAGTGCGGTGACGTTTGATATTGACGTTTCTTCAATTTATCATTTCGTTTTAATTAATACCAAAATACAAATTATTGATTTAAATGTAGAGGGACATAATAAACGTTAACAAAAATAAGTATATTCACAAACTTAGAGGGATCTCAATTTATATTAGCTTACACCACTTAAACCGGAATCGGATTTGTCTCAATCAGTAAATTGCTCTTCGAATGACCATATGTTTTCAGTAAAAATCGTGGTATTTTTTTGGTCCGCAGCCTTCCTCATTATATCGTCATTGAGCTCTAACAATTGTACAAAATTTTCCGTTGGCGATTTTTTAAAACTATCAAATTGACTTGAGCATGTACCTATAATTACAATTGGTGTTAGAGAACACAATTAACTAAGTCGTGTTTTGCAGAGCGAGGTAAGTTCAACAGGAATTAGTCCATTTAAGGGTTGCTTAAAATATGCTTTTCCTTTGGACTTCCAGTGTCAGCCTTGTTTACTCAATTTCGCTTTAGAAGTTTAAACGAGTTTTGTAAAGCATTATTTATTGATAACAAAGAGCCAAAAGAGACAAATAACTCTCTGAGTAACATTTAAAAACCAAAAACTTTCCTTAATGTAAAACTTACAACAATATTATAATAAAGATACGTTGCCCAAATGGTTCTATGACTTTGTAATTCCAGTTTTTGATTTGTATAATTGTTGCCAGAAATGTTGCAAAATGAATATGTGAATAATTTTGCAATTTGGCAATAAAATATATCTTTTCCAGACAACAGAGACACTGCCAGTAATGATCTGGATGTACGGGGGCGGATTTACTACCGGATGTGCTCTCGAGAGCGTCTTCGGACCACAGTCTCTTACAAACGAAGGAGTTATAGTGGTTACATTCAACTACCGTTTGGGTCTATATGGTTTTTTAAGTACAAATGACAGCGTGATTTTGGGTAACGCTGGACTCAAGGACCAACTACTAGCGATGAAATGGACACAGAAAAATATCGAATTTTTTGGTGGCGATCCAGAAAAAGTGACAATATTTGGCGAAAGCGCAGGCGGTGTGTCAGTGGGAGCGCACGTCGCGAACAAAAAATCTGCTGGCTTGTACAGAGCCGCGATTTGTCAAAGCGGTTGTTCTTTGGCCATTTTGCCTTCAGTAATTCAATCTGATCCCAGGCAAACCGCTTATGACATTGCGAAATCGATAAACCCTTTCGTTTCGGAAGCAACCACGACCGAGGAAATCAGAGATTTTCTCCAATCTCTGCCCGCCGATATTTTGGACATTGCTTTCAACGCAAATCCGCAAGTAAGTATTGTAAAAATAGCCAATAATTTAAGCTTTTATAGTAGATTGAAAATTTTAGTTAAACTTTTGACAATCAAACAATTAATAAATATTATTTTTTTTTAATATGAAGACAACTTATTTTAAAAAAGCGTATTTTCCAGTTGCATTTCTTCTTCAGTTATGAAAGAGTAAAAAATGTAACATTGGAAAGGTTTTCCTGTTCCTGCTCTATATGAACGCAATTATGTATTCTTGAATCAGAGGAAAACATCGATGTTATACTAATTTTAAAAGGGAGTGTTAAACATTATTGTCTATACAGTGTAACATCAAAATGGATTGCTGATATAGTTGATAGAAATTCCCCCAATTTTACCTTCTAGAATATGTAATGTAATTGTTATGAAACCATTTATTCTGTAAATTCTCAAACAATTTAATAATATTTTATTTATTATCATTTATTTATTATCATTTATTCATTAATACCCTACAACCTGAACCCTTTGCCGGGTACCAATTTAAACGACGTTGCTGTATTGATCAAGCAGACGTACAACAATAACCAACCATTTGCATTGAATTTGGCCTCTTTTGTTGAGGTAACTGATTTTCTGATTTTCAAATAGTGATTCCACTAAACACCATTTGTTATCCACGTGGAATTGCATTGCAAGCATTTCCTTAAATCAGTAAGGTTTTTTGTAAATAAATTATGAAAATATTAATTTTAGCTGTCTTCGGGAGTCCGCCTAAAATAAGTTTCCTCTTGTTATGTTTGATTGATAAGAATTGTGTAATGACCTGAGAGTTTCATATAAATTGTATGTGCATACTTTCTAAATTGCAGTTTACCAGTGACCAGTTATTTGTAAGATCGTCGCTTATCAGTTTTCTTATTCCGGAACTGTAGGCAACGCCACCGTTGAAGGTATGTAATACAGATGGTTAAAACCCGCCTCAGAAACAAAAAAAATTGTTTTTCTTTTAAGGCACTGGAAAAGTGGGACACGGGGAAGATGTACGTTATCTATTTGACCGGACTGAATTTTCCTTAACAACAGAGGAGGAATTCCTGACCAAAAGTAGGATGACTAGACTTTGGACCAATTTCGCAAAGACATTGTGGGTGCGTTCTTGCCAATCCACTTTAGTAATTTCATAGTTTTTATGTTTTTTAGGAATCCCACCCCGGATGAAATTGATCCGCTTCTCAATGTAACCTGGCCTCAAGTTTCGGGTTTAAACATCCCTTACCTGGGTATAGATGAGACTCTCGAGGTTAAGCCCGGTAAAAAGGTGAAAGAAATGGAAATGTGGAACGACGTTTTTTACACTTACGGCCAGCAACCTTTCTCGGGATTTTGATTCCTTAATTCACGTATAAACAGTGACAAACATTATGGCCCGATTATTTTATAGAACAGGGTTGTTTGTGCGTCTCCTATATAAACAAACTTAATAAAAACTGTGAAATAATTGTAATTTTATTTATTACTGGTACTAGTTTTGTTATTCCTAATAATAAGGTATTCGGCGATTTAAGAGCAGAAACTGCAATTCTATGTTCCCAACCTGCCTCTGGTTTGCAACGTGAGTTGGCCGATGGTTTGTTGTAGAATTCCCACATTTTTAACATCCGGTCTTGAGAATCCTAGCTCTAGTCCTTTATAGTCGAGCGTATTTCCGAACTCACGACTCCGAGAAAAGGTATATAAATATAAATATATAATGCCGAATCGTAGTTGGATTTAGATTGTTCAATAATTTCAAAATTCTTTAAATTTTGATGTACTTTTGCCGCACAGTTTTCTTAGGATAAGCTGTAATATTGTCCTTATTACTTGATTTCGTTCGTATTTGTTGTATTTGTATTCTATATAATCTCGACAGTGTTAGTCTATGAAATTAAAAGTTCTTCATTTTTCCAAAAATTGAACTGAGGTGGCTTTTACTTGATGAAAATCCATTTACCAAAATAAATAAGAACTAAAAGTTCAGATTTTCACGAAATTATATATTATGACATGGCAATTGTTTCGACAACACCGTGTCTTTATCAAATAATCGAATGATAAAGACACGGTGTTGTCGAAACAATTGTCATCTCATAATATGTAATTTCGTGAAAATCTGAACTTTTAGTTCTTATTTATTTTTATTTTTCCAACTCTAGATCCCTCTAATACTTTCCACTAAAGGGATATAATACGAAGTTTGCAAACGAAATATATAAACCTAATGAAAGTAATTGAAACTAAAAAGTCAAAGAACGAAAAACAGCGAAATAAATAATTTTAAAACCCTCCTGATAACTGACGGTTAAACTGAAGGCGGCAAATAATTTCAAACAATCCTAGTTTTGTAATCACAAAGACGATACCCATCAAGATTATAACAATAAATATAAATAACGTGTGAATTGAAAAATTGTTGGCTGACGTCTGTTGCGTACTGTGTTTTTTCATTATTTTTCGGTAATTCAACTTAGCTCTGTATACTTGAAAACATCTTAGAGCACCTTACATTTTACATCAACCTTTCTTTTGAAAATACTAACAAATTTTCTCCTTCATAAAAGTAAGCAAATTGTTATTCTCAAGGTGTTCAAAGCTCTTCGGCTATTCAGCTATTCGGAGTTGCAAAAATAGTTGAAACATGTTCGAAACGGAGTTGGAACAATATTCCGACTTGTGCATGAGGATAAACGCTGCCCCATAGGTTCACCAAATAGAAGAAGAAGACAGGAAGAAAAGAAACTGTAATAAATGAGGATGAAAGGACTGCCACCAAAAGAATAATGCCTTGGAAAAAATGACATCTGAAATAAAAAAGGATGATTCCATTCCACCCACGAGTAAGAAGAAATTGTGGAAAACTTTGGAGGAAATGAATTTTCTTTATGAAAAAACTGAAAATCACTTTAAATCGACATAGATGAAATTATCTTCCAGCCACGTGGATATTTGAGAACAGTTATCCAGTTTGGAATTGAAAACATGAATATCTATCTGTCTTCTGGACCAAACGAAAATATAGCAAGATAAATTATGAATTATTTGCTCATCTCTATGAAGAGAATCATGTTTAATTGCCTTGCCTTTCTATTGAATATAAATTAGAGTGATGCTAATTGGGGAACGATTCGAGGAGTGTAGGTTTTGTAAATTTAATTTTTTTTACTAGGAATTAGGAAACTAGGTATAGGACTAGATGTTTCATCCAGCTCTGCATTTTCGAAAATTATATATTATAATTAAAATTATTTACAGTAATGGCATTTATTTTGGAATATTGCAGATCTGGTATTTATCACTAGACAGGAATCCGTTATCTTCAGTAATTTCGTACTTTCTTTTTGAATTCACCACAACTTATCGAAATACCTATGTCGCTAATCGCTAAAACAGAGCTTATTATCGGTTTTTATTAAATTTGAAAAATGTCAAATTACTTCTTGACAACGATTATCTTATGTCGTGGATGTACCGCAAAATTTTATACTGCCTTTATATTTTCTATAAAATCCAAATCTTTGATATTGATAGAACTAATAAAAATACCTTAACTGATTTGTAAATAAAGCGAAATTGAAAGCCTGAAAGCAAAGAAATTAACCATCAATGCATCAATTCGTGGCTACAGTTGTAACTGCGGTCATGGTAAGGAAATAACTCAAAGCATAATTATTATTTAAAAGATTCATTAAAGCATTTATTAGTTTTTAAAACATATAAGTCAGAATGATAATTTTCATTTATGACTGCTTGAGTGGTAAGCATAAAAATAAAATTTATTTTATTTAATAGATTGAATGGAGCGATATATTTTAAATTATTAATTAAATTGGTTTTATAGTTTAATTGTCATTTTGATCTACAGTCCGTAGGTCTCCTGGTCGACATTGCGGACGGCATCATTTGTGGGTAGGAAATCAAAACTGAAAATTATAGCTACTACGCATATCGAGGTATTCCATTCGCAACACGTTACTATGTTATACGGAAGGATTTTTTAACTGGAGCTCATATAAATACGTTACAAGTTGAACGTCGAGAATATCTAAAAAATTTAGGCACTTATTGCAAGAACAAATGCGGCAACGCTATTGACGCTTTAAAAGCGAATAAGTATATGGAAAAACGTATACCAGTGACGCCCTAATGTTTATCAAGTGTACTGGCGCTATATGGCGGGCTTTGGGAAGTACATACGAAAGTAACGCTCAAAGCATGTTACCTGTCCAAGACGCTCTAATTATATTGAGATATATATATATATATATATATATATATATATATATATATATATATATATATATATATATATATATATATATATATATATATATATATATATATATATATATATATATATATATATATATATATATATATATATATATATATATATATATATATATAACTTCCAAAATACATACTCAATTAAATATTATTATATTATAATTAAATATTATTGACTTGACCTTTACTTTATCTTAATCACGCAGCTGTGTCTTTAATCGGGAAATTTTTAGATTTTACCGATATTGTGACAGTAAAGAATTTTTATTATTATTAGAATTAACTAACTAACTTGGTTAGTTAGTTATTGAGCAAAAACTAACAAAAATTTCAGCGTCATTTTAATCCATGTTCTGTACCTCTGATCAGTTTATATTACCGTAAATATTCTGAAAAGTGATGCCCTAGTGATCTAATAATATTTCAAGAGGTGACTCGACAACCTCCAATGTGTTTCGATGCCAGCACGGAGCTAAGCGCACATTTGTCACATTTATCAATATCTAACATACATTGAACCTATATAATACGCACAAAACCAATAAATGGTGACTTTATCGATAACCAAACTTTTTTTAGCCCGTTCATATGAACTCGGGTTTAAATTTCGCTTTCATCGGAATAGTCTTAATAACGAGCACTGTGTTAACTTAAGTCTACATTATTTTAAAATGCAAATGATGGTAAATTTTTGATAATTTTCCCTCATTTTGTTGTATTTATAGTTGTACTTTGTTTCCTGTTTTGGTTCAGTTCAATTAATTTTGTATGCAACATAACTCTTGTTCCGAATAAATAAATAAAACTTTTATCTGCCTTTTTCTTAAATTTTCGTCGCCTTTAATGTTTACATTGAAAATTAGAACTTTCTTTTGTGTTGCTGCATTAAAATCAACTTTCAAAAATTCTGTTTTTATATATACGAAACTGCCATTTCAACTTTAAGATCAGATTTTAAATTTTAATCATGTTTTTGAACATTTTAACATTTCAGTTTGATGTTGCTGATTTCGTGAGTTTTATGATACCCAAGTTACACTGACAATACAAGGTAAGTGAAACAATTTTATAAAGCTAATTTCATCGCCACGAGGTAATAGTTAGTATATATTTCTATTTTTAGCTTCTTCGGAGCTTAACTGGCTTTCATTTTGCTCTGTAGATGCACAAATGAGTAGAACTGTGTTTCCAGAGTCACAGACAACATTTTGAGAACCTTCTGTAATATATTTATTATATTTACTACAGCCATTATTATTGTCAGCTTTTTTGAATTATGCGGAAGTGTTTCATCAAATTCATACATTTATTTTAGTTTTTCAAACGAAGCAAACTGAGCGAGATTTCTATCCAATAATTTAAACAAAGTTCGATGAGGTTGTCGTTCTTTCAGGATACATGTCCAAATACATTTACGATGTCTTCACACCGTTTCTATAGTTTTAATAATAAAATTTTGCCGTATGTCGTTTATCTTCATCGGTAAACTCCATTTTACACAGTAATGTACTAGATATTAAAATATCATCGACAGATTTGAAAATTCATACCTTACTATGGCATAAAAGTTTTTGTTCAATATTTCGAATTTGCGGGAACACAAATACAACTTGAAAGGTTATAATACGATCCATCCAACCAATAGGAAAAAATAAAGTTAATAATAAGATAAAGTAAACGTCAAGTAACATAATAGTATACTATGCAACAAGTTTGTAGACGTCATTTTAGTCACGAGTTTGTTTTGGCACGAGCAAGAGCGAGTGAGTAATAAACGAGTGATTAAAGAGGTTTTACACTATCCAATTTTCTTCGACCCTTAGTTTTTGTTTATTTTTTTGCAAAACGTTTAGTGAGTTGTGGTATGATCATCAGAAGTCACTGATGTCAAAATACCGCTACTAAAATCTTCTGAATATATATCTCTCTCAAACCCGTGACTAAAATGCCGTCCGAAGAGGCTCGCTACCGTGATTAACGACGTTGACGTCTTAAAGTGGCCTTTTCTGCATTCTTGATATTCTTTCAGTAAATACTTGACATAAGAAACTTTCCGTTGTACCCAAGTATGATGTACCAACCAAATTTACACGCTGCTTGAACCATAAGACCATCAAAGCTTTCAATAAACTCCGTCTCCAACAAAGATCAGTCACTTCCTTA